CGGGTGGGCGGGTGCAAGCAGCGTTCGGTTGAAGAGCATGCATTTAGTTTTACTAGTGTTTAAGAGCAGTTGGAGGCTACGGAAGGAGTGTTGTATGGCGTTGAAGCTCGTTTGGAGGTTTGTTAACACAGTGTCCAATGAAGGGCCAAATGTATACAAAATGGTGTCGTCCGCATAGAGGTGGATCCGAGCGTCACCAGAAGCAAGAGCGACATCATTGATAAACACAGAGAATAGAGTCGGCCCAAGAATTGAACCCTATGGCACCCCCATAGAGAGGGCCAGAGGTCCAGACAACAGGCCCTCCGATTTGACACATTGAACTCTATCTGAGAAGTAGTTGGTGAACCAGGTGAGGCAGTCATTAGAGAAACCAAGGCTATTTAGTCTGCCAATAAGAATGTGGTGGTTGACAGAGTCGAAAGCCTTGGCCAGGTCGATGAAGACGGCTGCGCAGTACTGTCTTTTATCGATCGCGGTTATAATATCGTTTAGGACCTTGAGCGTGGCTGAGGTGCACCCATGACCAGCTCGGAAACCGGATTGCATAGCGGAGAAGGTACGGTGGGATTCAAAATGGTCGGTGATCTGTTTGTTAACTTGGCTTTCAAATACTTTCGAAAGGCAGGGCAGGATGGATATAGGTCTGTAACAGTTTGGATCTAGAGTGTCACCCCCTTTGAAGAGGGGGATGACCACGGCATCTTTCCAATCTCTGGGGATCTCAGACGTTACGAAAGAGAGGTTGAACAGGCTAGTAATAGGGGTTGCGACAATTTCGGCGGCTAATTTTAGAAAGAAAGGGTCCAGATTGTCTAGCCCAGCTGATTTGTAGGGGTCCAGATTTTTCAGCTCTTTCAGAACATCAGCTTTCTGAATTTGTGTGAAGGAGAAGCGGTGGGAGCATGGGCAAGTTGCAGTGGAGGGTGAGAGCTGGTGGCCGGGGTAGTGGTAGCCAGGTGGAAAGCATGGCCAGCCATAGCAAAATGCTTGTTGAAATTCTCGATTATTGTAGATTTATCGGTGGTGACAGTGTTTCCTAGCCTCAGTGCAGTGGGCAGTTGGGAGGAGGTGCTCTTATTTTCCATGGACTTTACAGTGTCCCAAACCTTTTTGGAGTTAGTGCTACAGGATGCAAATTTCTGTTTGAAAAAGCTAGCCTTTGCTTTCCTAACTGATTGTGTATATTGGTTCCTGACTTCCCTGAAAAGTTGCATATCGCGGGGGCTGTTCGATGCTAATGCAGTACGCCACAGGATGTTTTTGTGCTGATCAAGGGCAGTCAAGTCTGAGGAGAACCAGGGGCTATATCTGTTCTTAGTTCTGAATTTTTTGAATGGGGCATGCTTATTTAAGATTGAGAGGAAAGCACTTTTAAAGAACAACCAGGCATCCTCTACTGACGGAATGAGGTCAATATCCATCCAGGATACCCGGGCCAGGTCAATTAGAAAGGCCTGCTCGCTAAAGTGTTTTTTTGGGAGCGTTTGACAGTGATGAGGGGTGGTCGTTTGACCACAGACCCATTACGGACGCAGGCAATAAGGCAGTGATCGCTGAGATCCTGGTTGAAGACAACGGAGGTGTATTTAGAGGGTACATTTGTCAGGATGATATCTATGAAGGTGCCCATGTTTACAGATTTATTGTTATTACTGTTTACTGTTATTGTGAAGTGGAAACGTCTAGGAGAAACAATGGCTCAGCCGCGAAGTGGTAGGCCACACAAGCTCACAGAACGGGAGTGCTGAAGCGTGTAGCACTTAAATATCGTCTGTCCTCGGTTGCAACACTTACTACCGAGTTCCAAACTGCCTCTGGATGCAATGTCAACACAATAACTGTTTGTCGGGAGCTCTATGAAACGGGTTTCCATGGCCGAGCAGCCGCACACAAGCCTAAGATCAAAATGCGCAATGCCAAGCTTCGGCTGGAGTGGTAAATGTGTAAAGCTCGCCGCCATTGGACTCTTGAGCAGTAGAAATACATTCTCTGGCGTGATGAATTACGCTTCACCATTTTGAATTCCGACGGACAAATCTGAGTTTGGTGGATGCCAGGAGAACGCTACCTGCCCCAATGCATAGTGCCAAATGTAAAGTTTGGTGGAGGAGGAATAATGGTCTGGGGCTGTTTTTCATGGTTCGGGCTAGGCCCCTTAGTTCCAGTGAAGGGAAATCCTAACGCTACAGCATACAATGACATTCTAGACGATTCTGTGCTTCCAACTTTGTGGCAACAGTTTGGGGAAGGCCCTTTCCTGTTTCAGCATGACAATGCCCCCATGCACAAAGCAAGGTCCATACAAAAATGGTTTGTCGAGATTGGTGTGGAAAACTTGACTGGCCTGCACAAAGCCCTGACCTCAACCCCATGGAACACCTTTGGGATGAATTGGAACAACGACTGCGGGCCTAATCGCCCAACATCAGTGCCTGACCTCACTAATGCTCTTGTGGCTGAATGGAAGCAAGTCCCCGCAGCAACATCTAGTGGAAAGCCTTCCCAGAAGAGTGGAGGCTGTAATAGCAGCAAAGGGGGGGACCAACTCCATATTAATGCCCATGATTTTGGAATGAGATTTCCGACGAGCAGGTGTCCACATACTTTTGGTAATGTAGTGTATGTACATATAACTAGGAATAAAGTGACAGATAATAAACAGTAGCAGCAGCATATGTGATGAGTCAAAAAAGTTAGTGCAAAAAGGGTCAATGGAGATAGCTATTTGGTTAACTATTTAACTAACTATTTAGTAGTCTTATGGCTTGGGGGTAGAAGCTGTTCAGGGTCTTTTTGGTTCCAGACTTGGTGCACCAGTACCGCTTGCCGTGCAGTAGAAGAGAGAAAAGTCTATGACTTGGGTGGCTGGAGTCTTTGACAATTTTGAGGGCCTTCCTCTGACACAGCTTGGTATTGAGGTCCTGGATGGCAGGGAGCTCAGCCCCAGTAATGTACTGGGATGTACGCTTTACCCCCTGTAGCGCCTTGCGGCCGAATGCCAAGCAGTTGCCTACCAAGTGTTGATGTAGCCAGTCAAGATGCTCTCAATGGTGCAAATGTAGAAGTTTTTGAGGATATGAGGATCTGAGGGCCCATGAGAAATCTTTTCAGCCTCCTGAGAGGGAAGAGGCATTGTCGTGACTGTATTGGTGTGTGTGGACCATGATAGATCCTTAGTGATGTGGACTCTGAAGAACTTGAAGCTCTCAACCTAAGCTCTTCATCCAATGCAGATCAGCATGCAACATAACCTACTGTACTACGATATGGTTTCTTTCTTTCTAGAGTAATTGGAGAACTTCCTTTACCAGCTCTGTTTGTGACTTAATTTCTTCCCTGACGTTATTATGATTATTTATTTGAGGTATACAGTATATGACTTCATTGCCATGATGGATGCCTTGCTGCACTTTCAATGTCGTGCTTGTTTTTATGTGCACTTTGGAGAATGCATCACCATAATTAGATAATTTCTCTTATAAGTGAGCTGAATGAAAAGTAATTAGTGTGAAGCAACGTAGGCTGGAGGATTGTGTTACACTCTTTCACAACACCATTAATCAGAAAGGGTCACAAACTCAATGAATTAGTTTGTTGACATGGTGTGACTGGCATTGAGTGAAGGGAGAGTTAGTTAACATTAGCCTACAGTTATTACATTGCATATTTGATCATATTGCAGCAGCCAGGGTGATCGCAGGGATCAAGCTTCCACTTCATCCACTTGTCTTGAAATGTTTTCCTTTCACTCATAATAACAGCATTGTGCATGTGAACATCCCACAGACCTGGTGGATTGTTAAAGAAAACACTTGGCACATATTAAAAGGCAAGTGGTCTGGTCAATCACTGAGGGGAGCAATAGTGAATACGTTCTCCAAGGAGAGGGCACAATTCACAGTGCACAAGGGAACAAACATGTCAATGTGTCTTTTGAATGTATGTAGCCTAGTAGTTGCAGCTAGAGTCATGCAAGGAAGCAGAGTTCATAGGGGTGCCTTCCAGGTTATTCTAGGCGTCTTCCTTCCTGGATAGGCCTCTTTCCATGTATCCTTGCCAGGGACTCTCCAGTGTCAAGTGACTGTCGCTGTCCACGCTGTCCTGGTGCTGAACATCCGAATTCCGATTGTGTCGCTGAATCGCCTCAACGGTGCTGAATTGATTGTTTGTTTATTTATTGCCAGTTAATCCCAACAGATAAAAGTGAGCTATAGGTAGCCTGCTGTAATCCAATGGTATCATTGACAGGTTTGTCCCAGATTGTGTGGCAGGTGTAAACAAGTGTTATTGAGCGCCAATCCAGCATTGTCTTTACTTGACTTTGCTCCTGTAAACCGCTCTGGATAAGAGCGTCTGCTGAATGATTAAAATGTCAATGTAAGTATAAACTTCCTGAGGTGAAAAAAGTACTTTATCAGCAAACTCCCAGTGACTTTGAAAGGCTTTGGAGGACATGCTGTCTCCCCCTCTCGAGAGGCTAATTCATTAGCTAGTGCTTTAAATCTGAGAAAGACTATGTAATTTATGTATAAAATACACCTAGCCTAGGCTACTGGCTATTTAGCTTTAAGCGCAACAGTATGGTTCCCATTCATGAGGTATTGGGAGTGATTTCAGGAAGTGCACTAGTGAATATTTCACGACTCTTATGGCTATTGCGCGTGTTCCTAAAATAACCCACCATCAGCATTTCTCCGTCTTCCCCCTTCAACCAGCACATGGTTACAGTCAAGTAGGCGGCACCGATAGTGTAGTTAGAACTAGGTACACAAGCACATCAGACAGCCGCAGGTTGCTGCTATCGCAGCAGGAGCAATAGGAATTGTCACGGATCCGAGGTTAATAAGGGGGAGGAATGGCTTGAGATGAAACAAAAAAAGCAACGAGAGACGAGCAATATCTGACCGTCTTGTTGCAAATTGCTGCAGTGCTCTTTTTCCAGGTGCAGTGTATTATCATACAGATTGACTAAACTGGGTAACGGAGTCTCATGTCACATGTGCTTCATAGGAAGAAACGGGGCATCTGCAAGCTGGATCTGGAGGAGGATGCTGCGGCAAATGATACACAGAGGGCTCAAAGCTTCTTTCTACTGGCTGGGCTTATTTGTTAGTAGGCATCCGGTTTTTTTCCTCACCGTTCCCGCAGTCTTAACCATCATTTTCGGATCTACCGTGCTGAGCAGATTCAAGCCCGAAACCGACCTCGAGATACTGGTTGCCCCGACCCACAGCTTTGCTAAAGTAGAGCGGAGTCTTGCGAACAGCCTTTTCCCCATCGACCAGTCAAAAAACAAGCTGTATTCCGACCTGCACACTCCCGGCAGATATGGCAGACTGATTCTGCTGGCCAAATCTGGGGGAAATATACTGGAGCTAGCCGACCAGGTCCTGCAGGTTCACAAGCAGGTGTTGGATTTGCGTGTTAATTACAAGGGATTCAATTACACTTTCGCTCATCTCTGTGTCCTGAGCCATCAGGATAAGCGATGCATCTTGGATGATATAATTACGATATTCGAAGATATCCGTTTAGCTATTCTATCGAATTACACTTTCTCGAAGGTGCCCGTGAGCTATCCAAATACAACATTAAAGGTAAGAAGGCGAGGATTCTGTTTTTTATAGTAAAACGATAGGCTACAATGTTTCTGCTGGCCGCGAGCATCAATTACCGATATGAGTGTCAGAGATCGTGACTGACGTGCTGTGCTACTCAAAAAACCGAATTACCTGGATTAGCAGTGGGACAATGTTTCTGTAATGAGACCATAACCCACTGTCTGAAACCTTCAATAATTTCTCAATGAACACAGTGGTTGTATTCACTCAGCCAATTATGTAGGCTGCTGATGTCTTTATATCAGGCAGGCAAGGCAAGGAAACACTCAGAACAGATTGATTGAATAGCCGGTGTTTAGGCTAGTTGTTAGCTGCAGGTTGTGAATTGTCTGCATAGCCCTGCACTGCTCCAATATACAGGGAATGTTCCCCTTCCTATTCTGATGCAGTGTCTTTCTCCCTCTCCTGCACATATATAATGACATAGCTGATAGACTAGTATGGGCCTGCATCCCGACTTCCCGTGTAAGATGTTGCTATGCCTCCTAAGTGTATGCTGTGATTGCAGCCCTCTGCAGATGTATCGCTGGGCTGCTAGGCTACCTCTGCTCATGTCATTTTAAACAGTAGGCTATAAATGAGGTTCATGTTTTAATCAGCTGTTACACAATTACAACAGGTAGCCTAATTTTACAACAGGTGACCATATCTGTTGCTAGTACCCTGACACCCTGAGCCCATTAAATTAATGAGTGTAGATAGAGCCTTAGGTAATGGTCTACCTTGAGTAAGACTCACCATGCTGGGTAACATGAGTAGCCTAGTCAGTGAGTTGAAAACTGTACTGTACTAAATTAGGCCTATGCTACACAGAGCATCTTAAATTGCAAGGCACGTGTCTAGCTACAGTTTCATCTCCTCCAATAAGAGCATTTCTAGTGTGATCTAGCTGATCCTCCTGCACCAGGCCTAGCTGTGTAATGCACTGGGGCCTGCTCTGTTCATTCATACTGGGCTGTCCCTAAATCACTTCTAGATAGCACATCCTATGACTGTTCATTCCTCTGTATCCAAGGCCACATTCTTCACGCATTACTATTGCAGCTAGTTGCCTGATTCTCTATGGCTCTGGCCCTTGTGCACCCCTTGACACCAACCCCTTTCGCCTCATGGGGGTAAAAACTGACAGTGCAAGTGATATTTAATTACAATAACCCATGGAATCATTCATTTTCTGACGTTACAGTTGTACAATCAACATCAAATATTGCATTGAAGAGATACAGGATTTTCTGTACAGTACAGTAGGCTGCAGATTACAAACAGTGAACAAATCAGACCAGCTAGGGCCCTTGTCCGAAATGAACAAACAATGCTCTATTACATTTGCATAATTTCACTATTGGCTGACAAGTTAACTGTTCCTCCACTTGTCTAGGAGATCCATCTTCTCTGGAGGACAGTTAAGTGGTGTCATATAGCTCATCTCCACATATCAGTCACCTTCCCCAGGGATTAATATCACTGCATCCCTATACTAGTGGCGCTCCGATCTGATAGGACACCTACAGTATGCCTTTCTAAAAACAACTAGGCAGCCAGTGATTGGTTTAACGCATGTCTTATTGAACAGTGTTTTAGGAATCAGACAGTACAGTGCATGTGGTCTGATTCTGTAGTAGCCGTAGTAATGGGACATTCTCAGGCATGATTCCAAAATACACAATTTACTATAGTAGAAATTATGAGAATAGTTTGTCAGAGTGCAATCTTACTATTGCTTAGTAAATATGATATTATAACATTATTTATCTTACCGTAAAATGTATTAAATGTGTCATTATCTCTCCTGCAGGGAATTCATTCATATTTTAATGGTTGGTTGATGGGTCACAGTGTTCAAATCATTCACAAGATAATCGTAATCCAAAAACATAACCAAGTGTTGCTTATTTCAGGTAACAGAAACCAAACAGCATATCTCCAGCTATGCTCTGTAGGGACTTGAGATCCCTCTGTCAGTGTGTCTGATAGTATCCTGTCTGTTGTGCTCCATCTCCCAGGACGGTCGTGTGTCCTTCATCGGCCACCAGCTGGGTGGAGTGGCCTTCTCGCCCAACAGCCGAGACCAGCAGGTGAAGTTTGCCCGGGCCGTTCAGATCACCTACTACCTCCGCAATCATGGCCCTGTGGTGCAGGACGTCATCGCAGAGAAGTGGGAGAACGCCTTCTGCGTCCTCATCACGCACCTGTCCACGCTCAGCGAGGACCTGCACATCCAGTCTCTCACCTCCTTCAGCCTGTGGAGGGATTTCCACCAGACGGGCGTGCTGGCTAAAGGGGAAGTGCTGGTCAGCATGGTGCTCCTCCTGCTGGCGGCCACCATCTCCAGCTCCATGAGGGACTGCCTGAGGGGGAAGCCCTTCCTGGGTCTACTGGGTGTGCTCACCATAGCCATCGCCAACGTGACTGCAGCTGGCATCTTCTTCATCTCCGACGGGAAGTTTAACTCCACGCTGCTGGGGATCCCCTTCTTTTCCATGGGTGAGTCTGGAGCTGCTTAGTCTTATCATGGGCAGCCATGTTGCTGAATGGGGAGAGGATTAGGGAAATTGGCTGCTGTGGTCTTCCTCAAAGAGGGCCACCCCGTCCTCCACTGATTGTTTTCAGTTTGTTTTTGTGGGAGTGTGTTGAATTGTGTGTGTGTGTGTGTGCCTGCCCTGCATATATGTGTCTGTATCTAACATCAGCACAACAATGCTTGATATTTCCCAAATAATCATCAGATAAATGTTTTAATCAACTATTAAATCACAATTAAAATTAATCTGATGATGTACGTTACAAAGCATTACTGTACATCATCTAATGGCTGCAATAAAAAAGCCAGACTATTTATTGTTTGTATGAAAACTTTGAACTGAGTTATGATAATCTTAACAATCACAAATTGCAGGCTACTTATAAAATGAATATTTTCTAAATAGATAAACTCTACAAACATCCCCATCTTAATTGTCCCATTGTCTGTGGAGGGTAATAAAAGTTTCCCGGCAGAGTTGTCCTCAAATTTGTACTCCGTTCTAAGCCACAGGATCACAAGGAGATCTCCTGTGTATATGTGGTTTTCTGCCATATACAGTAACCTATTTTCCCAGTCTGAAAGGTTCAGAGGTCAGTCAAGCCCTGGAGGCTGAGACTACACTAGTCTGACGTAAATAAAGTTGAAGTAAGAAGCAGGAACAGGAGGCAGAGGCATCTTGGTGAAGGGAAAGGGAGGAGGATAGACATAGGCAGGGAGGAACTTCATTAAAGGGGCAATCTGCGGTTGCTACATCCATTTTTTAAAACGTATAAATGAATAATATATACCCATTTGATCCATGAAGAATATACATATTAATGGCCTCATGAGCTTAGTTCAACTGTTGTAACCCCATCAGAACCCCCATATAGAGCTTTGTTTTCTTTAAGAGGCTCCTCTGTCCTCCCCTCGTTACCTGTATTAATGGCACCTGTTTGAACTAGTTATCAGTATAAAAGACACCTGTCCACAACCTCAAACAGTCACACTCCAAACTCCACTATGGCCAAGACCAAAGAGCTGTCAAAGGACACCAGAAACAAAATTGTAGACCTGCACCAGGCTGGGAAGACTGAATCTGCAATAGGTAAGCAGCTTGGTTTGAAGAAATCAACTGTGGGAGCAATTATTAGGAAATGGAAGACATACAACACCACTGATAATCTCCCTCGATCTGGGGCTCCACGCAAGATCTCACCCCATGGGGTCAAAATGATCACAAGAACGGTGAGCAAAAATCCCAGAACCACACGGGGGGACCTAGTGAATGACCTGCAGAGAGCTGGGACCAAAGTAACAAAGCCTACCATCAGTAACACACTACGCCGCCAGGGACTCAAATCCTGCTGTGTCCCCCTGCTTAAGCCAGTACATGTCCAGGCCCGTCTGAAGTTTGCTAGAGTGCATTTGGATGATCCAGAAGAGGATTGGGAGAATGTCATATGGTCAGATGAAACCAAAATAGAACTTTTTGGTAAAAACTCAACTCGTCGTGTTTGGAGGACAAAGAATGCTGAGTTGCATCCAAAGAACACCATACCTACTGTGAAGCATGGGGGTGGAAACATCATGCTTTGGGGCTGTTTTTCTGCAAAGGGACCAGGACGACTGATCCGTGTAAAGGAAAAAATGAATGGGGCCATGTATCGTGAGATTTTGAGTGAAAACCTCCTTCCATCAGCAAGGGCATTGAAGATGAAACGTGGCTGGGTCTTTCAGCATGACAATGATCCCAAACACACCGCCCGGGCAACGAAGGAGTGGCTTCGTAAGAAGCATTTCAAGGTCCTGGAGTGGCCTAGCCAGTCTCCAGATCTCAACCCCATAGAAAATCTTTGGAGGGAGTTGAAAATCCGTGTTGCCCAGCGACAGCCCCAAAACATCACTGCTCTAGAGGAGATCTGCATGGAGGAATGGGCCAAAATACCAGCAACAGTGTGTGAAAACCTTGTGAAGACTTACAGAAAACGTTTGACCTGTGTCATTGCCAACAAAGGGTATATAACAAAGTATTGAGAAACTTTTGTTATTGACCAAATACTTATTTTCCACCATAATATGCAAATAAATTCATAAAAAATCCTACAATGTGATTTCTGGAATTTCTTTTCTCATTTTGTCTGTTATAGTTGACGTGTACCTATGATGAAAATTACAGGCCTCTCTCATCTTTTTAAGTGGGAGAACTTGCACAATTGGTGGCTGACTAAATACTTTTTTTCCCCACTGTAAGCTTGTTTTACTCCAATGTTTCTAAACAAAGTAAATTTAAACAAACACTATGTAGCTTTAAAACATGGTTAAAACTATAGTTTTGATATCATGGATGGTGAGTCCTTGCATCCATAGCTATGAATTTGAGAGTAGTTACATTTCTCCAGCCCCATACCTCAGCTTTTACTGAAACAGGGGCTAGGGAGTACGCTTTGTTATTGTTTCAACTGCTGATTGCCGCTATAAGTCACTAAATACATGTGACAGGTCCTCCGAGACAAAAGATTTGCACCACCCACCTCCTGGGATGACACTGTAGTTTCTCACAAAGTAAACAAAGACTGTACTTGAGTCCATTCTTGTCCAAAATTAGTTTTGTAGTTATCCTTGAAATGAATGCAACATGTTTATCGCCAGACTCAAAGTCCAAATTGCAATCGACAATAGTATTTTTGGACTGGGCCAACCCCCATGAGGGCAGTCAACTCTCACCACATGTCAGTGGACAACTGTAAGATGAGACAGCTGGACAGTCTTAACACAGTGCACCTTTTCATGTCTTTTACCAACTATGTCTATCTGGGATGTCATCTTAGTGAAGCCAATTACTGTAGCGCTGAGCCTGTCAGTTCTCGTCTCCCTGGGTAGCTAGTTCTTAACTGGAGGAAAACAGGGAGAGAGAGGGCTTTGTGCCAGGACTCATGAAACTTACATGACACAGACACACTGGCAGGGTACTACCTTTCTCTCTCTCTGTTCCAAATGAGCTGTGGACATTGACCTTACCTACTGTACTGTAACTAAGTACTTACTTTCTGCAGTTCTTCTAATGATTCCACTGTTTTACAAAATATGTTATTCTTTGTCCTAGAAAGGTTTGACTCGCACTACTAGAACATAAATCATTGTCAACAAATTGTTTTAAAGGACCAAATTATAATGTGTTGACGCTGTGTATGCTTAGCAGAATGGTTCTGCAGGCAGGCACGGTGGCCTTTGTGGGAGTTTCACTCAATTTCAAAGTAATTTCTCCTGTTTCGTGAATACTGAACACCACCCTGGAAGAACTGGTGAAAGCCTATACCTAGTACTTGTATCTAAACCATGCCTCCTCTCCCTAGTCCACAGTCAGATCATCACAGTGAATGCTCTACAGGAGGTCCTTTCTGATTTACAGAGTTTTGCATTTTCCTTTCTGGAAAACATAATTCTGGAGGAATTGATTTTATCCCACAGGCTAAGATGAATAGTGACACTGGACACGGCTGGTTACAGGCTTCACACAATGTGGTGAACACTGGTCCTCTGGGACCCAGCCGGCCGCTGATGGACTGGAACACTGATGACACATTCATGAATATTATTTGTGACAACTTCACAGCCATTATGATTATGGCCATGGGGAATACGATATTATTTAGGGCTTGATTAGCAAGAACCCATTAATTGTACTCAGATTAGTGTCCAGGACCAGTCTTATCAGAGAGTGATTGAAACAGATATTAGAAATTCCGAGAAAACTCCATGGTGAATGAATATCAGGATGAGAGGATGATCATTTATTTAAGTAGTGTATGTCAATGCAGAGAGTTAGTTGTTCCATGTACAGTATACAGTATGGTCAAGTTAGAACCATTTACATTTTTGAGTGGCGACACTGAAGAAACGTATATGTTTTGTTGGCAAAAGCCTGTCCACCAGGACCAATGAGAATGGAGAGGGAAGCGGTGGGAAAGGTTACAGCTGATGTGTTTGGTACCTAATTATCACACTGATTAATAAGCATGAGTAAAAGTGGGATTTACAGAGAAGAGGGAATAAGTTAACACTGTAGTATAACTGGTTGAGGATTGATTTTAATTAGTAGTGTGTTGGTTATTATCATTCATGATCAGAAAGTCCATGGAATTAATGGATAATGTCTCATATCGATACACCACCAAATAAGGAACCACCACATTTACTCATTCCACATAACACATTGATTCCTAAGAGCAGTCAAATCAATATATGAATGTAGGTTCACAGGCAGCTGATGCACTTCTTGTGCTAATTTGTCACCGCTGTTGCGTCACAGACAAGTTACTCGTATTCAGTGCTGTGCTGCTGCTGCCACCAACCTTGAGTCAATGGCCTCAGATAGGATATGTGTGACACAGACAGACACTTGGTGGGTGTGTCACGCTAGCAGAGACAGTCCAGATAGCTCCTCCTCAGTACGTCAGCTCATTGATCCAACTCATTACTGTTATAGGCCTTAGACTGGGGAGGAATGTGTACTACATGCACACACACATGGACGCACATAAACCCATTGCCTCCAGGACACACACATACACACTCACACATATATGCACACATGCTCACACATACACTGGCACACATATACTCACGTATGCACTACTCACACGCACATGCACCAGCACACTAGCAGGCAGCCCTTGTCCTGTTTACAATTCTCCCCACGTACACATGACTGTGTGTGGTCATGGCAAACATGCTCAAGGTGCTCCGGGAAGGCAATGACAGTGTCTCCCCCAATCAGAGACAGACCACACACATACATGCTCTCTCGCTTTCTCTCACACTCATGCACTCTCTCTCTCTCCCTCTCACAAACACAAACACACACACTCACACTCACACTCACACACACACACACACACAGAGAGAGAGAGATTCACACAATTCAATGTACCTCGCAGACCAGACCAAAAGATGTCAATATATTGGATCGGAAAGTGT